ATTTCTGATAAAGTGGCGTGTCGGTCCATCTTCTTCAAAGGATGGTCTCCAGCAGTCTCCTTGCTCCTCAGAGCGGATATAACAATCAAATAAGGAGAATGAGATTTACCGAGTGTCCTGCAGAGAGTGCTGCATTATGGGTTGTTTGTAGCCTTACCAAGCCTGTTTATAGTGTCTCCCTTTGGGTTGCTTTGTTAGCCCAGTTTAACCTGCAGGACTTTGTGACGGCTTATGTGATGTTATGTTGGAGGAATTTAACTTATGATAAAGACCAAATCATCACCAGACATCTTTGCTACAGAAACAGACCACAACCAAATCATCTGTCAAGCAGCCACAGAAGATAAGCACAAAAAGACAGAAAAGCACTGTCAGCATAAATGATTCCGATCGCACCAGGAGCCCAACAGGAAAGTGTGTGCAAACGTGACTAACAGACACAATGTGGGCTTTACACATTTTTTTGCTTTTATGTTGTGATTACTCGAACTGGAATCGAACAAAACTACTGAAATCCTGAAAAATGGAACATGTCTAAAGTCTATGTTATCATTAACTAGATAAAGATGGTGGTCCATGTGATTTATGTAGGATTCACACCTAAACTGAATGGAACCCCTTAAAATGTCTTGTAAACAAGATTCACTTACAGCCAGCGGTCTGGGAGTCTTCGAGGACCAACAAACATGTTGAATGTGTTTCCTTCCTCATTAATGCTATTTTAAAAAACTACTGTGACGATCTTTATATCCGTACCGCCCGGCCCTGCTCTCCATCTGAATGCTCACCCGCTCGGGATCAGCTGTTTACATGCACCATCACACCCCAGTCACAATTCTCCATGAATAAACCAAATTCTGTCAACATCGCCATGGAAACCGAGCCTGTGCAAACCTGTTAAAACCAACCAGGTAAACAGGACGACCCGTGAGCTGCAGGTTTCACAACATCTTGTCTCAGTCGTTGGTTGAACTCAAAGCAGTTACAGTAATTAGGATGGGATGAACAACCAGCTACTGAGGAGCACGTTAGCTACCCTGTGAGGTGATCACAATTCAAGATAAACCAATAAGAGCTGAGAGGAACGGAGTGTTTTTGTTGTTTCATCTTTATTCAGACTGCAGGGATCCAGACTGACAGACAGAAAGTGATAGCAGTGCAGCTGCTGTCATTCACAGACAAACTCAAGTGCATCTTATTGTCATGTAGATGAAAGTCTGGGCCTCAGCAGCGGCAGCACAACTGCTCTTATTTCTGTCAGCAAGGCTGGATTTTTATCCACTCATTATTAGAGCCATTATTAGGTATTTTAATTTGACCCTTTTGAGCCACACTAGCAGCACAATTAGTTCCCTACAGAATCAAACATCTCAACGACTCCTGCATGTGCTGCAATGACATTTAGTACAGACATTAACTCTTAATGAATCTCCTGAATTTGACTGCATTAATGCATCATACAATCTTACAGTTTGACCTGATTACTTCAGCTCTCACAAAAAGTGTAACAGGTATAAATTGCAAACAGAAAACTGCAGTTGAACATTTGTGGTACAGACTGAACTGGCCAGTGCTGAGTCTGTGGGACGTCAGGGACACATGTCACAGCAGCTGGACAGCAGCTGAACAGCAGTCTGGAAGGGGTTTTAGGAAAAACAAATGTGGTATTTCTTGAACAGCTGTTGTGTATTATTTCTGTTTGAAAATCAAATGCTAAGACCTCGATGGCAGCGTAGTGAGTGGTGCGTTCATCCAATCAGGTGTAGGAAGGGTTCATGCTGATGTCTGAGCGAAGGAGACGACTGTCAGTCACACATTGGTCCTTAAAAAGGCTCCAGACATCATCAGCTGGCGGCGCAGACCTTTCATTTGGATTTGTTAAACACAACTAATAGCATTAGTAATGGCTGCATTCCATTTACACCTGAAACTTTCCGGCTGGAACCAGTCAAAATGTTTGCCTGGAGGTTTTATAAGGAAACTAATAATCCTGTTCAGGCTTTAGCGCCGTCTTTGACATAAACATTAAAAAAATCTAAATTCTTTCATCAACACAAACACGTCTTAAATTCTAGGACATTTTTCAGGAATAGCTTTACATGTCAAAGCCCTAATAACGCAGGTTTGTCTGTCCAACTCTTTGCCCTACAGAGTACGTTCTTACACAACGCTAACGTTATCGAATGTATTAAGTAGGAAACCTGATGCAGCCTGAATTAAATCTCTTTTTTACTTTTGTTTTATTTTAATATCCACTTCTGGAAAATAAAGTCTGACTAACAATTTTATGGATCTGTTTGCAACTCCAAGTCAACATAGTGGTCAAAATGACTTTAAGGACGAGATGGGACGTTTTTACTTTTTCAGCAACCCTGAATGTCTAGAGAGACTCAACCTGACACCATAGACTGTTCTTTGTCCCTCCCATCATGTACAAACTACAGTACACAAAACACAGCCTCCAGTTTGAAGGATAAGGATAACCACCTTTATTGGCCAAGTATGTCACACACAAGGAATTTGTTTCCGGTACAGAACCGATGGCAGCCATCTGCGGTGCCAACTCAACCAATGGCTCTAACCATCGGGGGCAATGGGGGTTCAGTGTCTTGCCCAAGGACACTTCGACACATAGACTGCAGGCACCGAGATTAGAACCCTCACCCTTCCAGTTGGGAGACGAATGCTCTCACCACCGAACCAACGTCA